TACAGCACGTGCATCACAGCCACAGCCACAGGAATTCTGAATCATTTCAAAATCTGCAGGGTTATTGAGATGCTGCTTCAGTGATGCTGCGGTGTGTCCTCTTTGGTGTGTCCTACCCACAGTGATGGCCAGATGTGCTTTTTATCACGATACATCTGCATGGTTGCTATGCTTGCTGTTTTTTACTCAAATCCACATCACAGTGCTGTGTTGTCTGCATGACAAATAGCAGAATATGAAAACTTGAGGGACACAGAAAAAGGCCTCACGTTGCCTGAAAGAACAGGTTTGCAATTTTCTTTTCCTGATGCCACAAATTTTTCCTTTTGTCCTTTGTGTCCTAGAAACAAATTTAAACTATATTTGAGAATGTCTATGTTAACACTGATTAAGCTGGAAGAAAATTTACATCGTATGCCGTGGAGGTCACGATCATTCAGTGGCATTGCTGATTTAAAAAGAGTATATATTAAGTCACAGTATCGTGGGAAACACTTTATTAGTTTATGGTTAAGTCTGACTGCTTAAAGCTTTCATGGATCTTTTGTGTACTCATATTCTCAAATATTTACCTATTAGCCTGAATAGTAATCCTGTTGCCACTTAACATCTAAGTCTGAAAGCTGCCAGTTTTACTTAACTTTACTAGTATCTTCCAGTTTAAATGTCACATAAAAGTGGGGCTTAAGGGCTTTCCAATTTACAGTTTTATTTCTGCAACAGCTATTCAACTAATAGTACATTTACACCAAATTAGCCACATTCCTTTAAACAAACCCTCCTTCTTGTAATGGTGAGGGCACTCAGTATGCTGTAATATTGACACATCATCTGAAAAACATGTCGGTATAAATATTTTGAAATGTGAAAATATATTATCCACCTAAAACCAGGAAAAAAGGTAATGTCATACACTTGAAAGACAAGGAAGAGCTTGAATTCAGCTGGCATTAGGTTAATATTCGTACACTGAAAACGAATTAATTTGTTTATCAGTGTTGCTATTTATTACACACAGAAGACTGTAAAAGTTGAAAGTAATTTCACTCTGTTATGCACTTTATTTTTTGCGTTCTTCTTAGGAAACCAAAATAATTGTAAACATTTCTGGTTTTGAATTTTAATTGATGCAGTTGTTTAAGTTGTGAATGCTGCAAGAAAAAATGTCTATGTGAAAATATTCTCACTGGTATTTAAAGGGAATTAAAATGGTTTAAGGCTTTGTAAAATCATCTCTTAGAAACTCCAAGTATTGGACCAGTCTGGAATTAACCAAACTTGTAGACTCACACAGAGGGTAACAAAGGAAATATTCTAAGTGCAGAGAAATATATGGAATTATGCTGCCTAGGGTTACTTTGTAGATTATAAAGTGCTAAGACCTTGTACTTGCAGTACACATAAATGGCACAGTGCATTCTAAAGAACATTAGGAGCGTGTTGCAAGTATTGGGCCATCCCTATTTTTCCAAAGTGTCCAAAATATATATATTTTTTAAGAAAAGGTTAATGTAAAGTATACCTCCTTATGCAAGTGTTACTGATAGAAATTGTTACATTTTCTTTTAATAAACAAAAGGGACAAAATCTTTTATTCGTATTTTTCAAATAAAATATGCTCTTTGCTATGGTGATGGGTTATTGTATTCCTCATCACAACCAGAAAGGGTTATTTTCTCTTCACTCCTGCGTTCTACACTTGCCAAAGAAGTGCAGCTGTCTAAAGAGACTCTTGCCTGTGAGGATCAGACGCGGTACGGCGGGATTAATGAGGTCAGTGGTGACTTTAACTAGGTTTCAATGCCTGGTGTAGTCACTCAGCTGTGTCACTGTTTCAGAGACTGTCTTACACGATTATTGCTACAGATGGGTAGGGAGAGAGCAAGACACTGAGAGAGGCTTTGCGACAGGCTGCTGTATAACTGCTAAATGGTTCATTACTTCTGCTCCTGGCAACTATTCCACTCCGACCGTCACTGTCCTGAAACTGAAATACAGCATTACAGGGTGAGCACATTATCCACATGAGTGAGCTGGGGAATTGCACATCTATGAATCCAGATTGGTGGTAACAGTGGGGGTTATTATCCCAAGCTGACACAGAACAGAACAGAAAAAAATAGGCA